TGAACTGTGTTACTAGTCCTGAATAGAATCATTTCGCCATAGGTACACCGACGTTCACCTCTTAACGTATCCTGATTTCCGGCTGAGAATGTTGAGAAGTAGGTTTTATCAGTTCAGTGAATCTCGGACCAAGCGTACGAATTCCTCTGCACTGCAGCTACTCCGCTAGAAATTTTGGACGTGAGGGTTACAATGCTAGCGTTGATGAACTCGAACGTATTCAAGTGCCTCTGAATAAGAGATTAGGTTCATACGAACAAAACAAATGCTAAGTAAGCGAACTGAAGAGTCAATAAATATGAAAGTTCCCAATAATGAGTAAAGTGGTAGTAAAATCAGTAAAATCTTGTTACAAAAAGCTGGTATTTAGTAAAATGAAGACAAAAGTAACTGCAGCTGAACACTAGCGGAGTAATCTAAGATACAGGCCGAATAAGCAGATGCAAGCAAACCAGTGCAGAGGGGCATCGGGCTGATAAACAGAAATATATGGAAGACCTAGTAATGACATCATAAAAGCTGAAACAGAACAGAATATGAGACGGCAGATATGATTTCGAGCAATAACTCTTGAATAATTATGAGCTGAGATTTTGGTTCATTGGTTTCAAACTCCTTAATCAGTCGAAAATTATAAATGTCAGACTTACGGATTACTTTCTGGTCATCAAAGTAGGTTTTGTGTTTACACGTGTTGCAGAATTTGCACACAATGTCGGTACAGATCAATAATAACAGTACAATTATGATATGTGAGGTAAACGCCATTTCTACAGGCATGAGCAGTAATTTACAACACCGATTTACTAATCAGACAACACCCAGCTAGTTTGACCGAAATGACCATGTTCTTGAAAGTATGCGACATAATACTTCCGGAAATGTACCATCATAATGTAGGTAGGTTTGAGGATTAGTGATGTACTATAAGTTCACATTTGGTGTAATCTACTAAAATATGCACATCTTAAGGGTGTGACGGCCTATTAAAGGAACATAGTGTTTCTTGATAACTGAGTTATCAATGGCTATTAGTGAAGCGAATCGCTTATGTGTCGCTAAGTGAATGAAGAAAAATCAAAAGATATCTTAGTGTTTTATCTTAAGATTATGTCTCAAAAGCTCGGCCATCCTCTCCCATACCGTCGAGTGTTTCTGACGGATTCGAAATATGCTTAACCAGGCATGCTGAATACAATAACGCTGTATTTCCGAGAGACGTGGAAGTAACTAACTGTCAAAAGTTATGTAAACGTCACTTTTTGCGCTTTGAGTTTATTTGTTCCATACAGGATTTGAACGCACTTGTATATAATATTGATATGGTTATTTTCAGTATAATGTTTCGTTTCGCTGAAAATATTTCATGAGTCTCTTCAGAATGATAAATTTTGGTTTATTGCTAGTCATTTACAACTAAACATTGCATATATGATTAGGGATTCAGTTTTCTTGTTTTTTTGGTTTATTCTGTGAGTGTGTCGTTTTAAGTGTGCATTCAGCGTCAAAAAAAGTCATATAGGTTTCTGCCTGGGTAAGTAGCCATAATAATATTTACTTGTATGTAAACAAGCATGTCAGTGTATCTTGTATGTTTGCCAATGAGCTGAGTAGCTTATCTTAACGGTAAGAATACTAAGATATTTTTAGATGGTTTACAACCACTCACACTTTCGAAGCTTCATGACAGGTGATTAGCCAAGACGAACTTTTCTGAGGAATAAAACTTAGCCTCGATACTAGAACAAACTTTCACGATGGGTAACGTGGTTGAATATGTAAAGGATACACTTCACTACATTATCATCATTATAAATGTAGGCAGTCTTAAGTCTAGATTCGCCTAAAGCAAGTGTGCATTTAATTATCTGTAAGCTGGGTACACCTGAATTTACATATGAACTGTGTTACTAGTCCTGAATAGAATCATTTCGCCATAGGTACACCGACGTTCACCTCTTAACGTATCCTGATTTCCGGCTGAGAATGTTGAGAAGTAGGTTTTATCAGTTCAGTGAATCTCGGACCAAGCGTACGAATTCCTCTGCACTGCAGCTACTCCGCTAGAAATTTTGGACGTGAGGGTTACAATGCTAGCGTTGATGAACTCGAACGTATTCAAGTGCCTCTGAATAAGAGATTAGGTTCATACGAACAAAACAAATGCTAAGTAAGCGAACTGAAGAGTCAATAAATATGAAAGTTCCCAATAATGAGTAAAGTGGTAGTAAAATCAGTAAAATCTTGTTACAAAAAGCTGGTATTTAGTAAAATGAAGACAAAAGTAACTGCAGCTGAACACTAGCGGAGTAATCTAAGATACAGGCCGAATAAGCAGATGCAAGCAAACCAGTGCAGAGGGGCATCGGGCTGATAAACAGAAATATATGGAAGACCTAGTAATGACATCATAAAAGCTGAAACAGAACAGAATATGAGACGGCAGATATGATTTCGAGCAATAACTCTTGAATAATTATGAGCTGAGATTTTGGTTCATTGGTTTCAAACTCCTTAATCAGTCGAAAATTATAAATGTCAGACTTACGGATTACTTTCTGGTCATCAAAGTAGGTTTTGTGTTTACACGTGTTGCAGAATTTGCACACAATGTCGGTACAGATCAATAATAACAGTACAATTATGATATGTGAGGTAAACGCCATTTCTACAGGCATGAGCAGTAATTTACAACACCGATTTACTAATCAGACAACACCCAGCTAGTTTGACCGAAATGACCATGTTCTTGAAAGTATGCGACATAATACTTCCGGAAATGTACCATCATAATGTAGGTAGGTTTGAGGATTAGTGATGTACTATAAGTTCACATTTGGTGTAATCTACTAAAATATGCACATCTTAAGGGTGTGACGGCCTATTAAAGGAACATAGTGTTTCTTGATAACTGAGTTATCAATGGCTATTAGTGAAGCGAATCGCTTATGTGTCGCTAAGTGAATGAAGAAAAATCAAAAGATATCTTAGTGTTTTATCTTAAGATTATGTCTCAAAAGCTCGGCCATCCTCTCCCATACCGTCGAGTGTTTCTGACGGATTCGAAATATGCTTAACCAGGCATGCTGAATACAATAACGCTGTATTTCCGAGAGACGTGGAAGTAACTAACTGTCAAAAGTTATGTAAACGTCACTTTTTGCGCTTTGAGTTTATTTGTTCCATACAGGATTTGAACGCACTTGTATATAATATTGATATGGTTATTTTCAGTATAACGTTTCGTTTCGCTGAAAATATTTCATGAGTCTCTTCAGAATGATAAATTTTGGTTTATTGCTAGTCATTTACAACTAAACATTGCATATATGATTAGGGATTCAGTTTTCTTATTTTTTTGGTTTATTCTGTGAGTGTGTCGTTTTAAGTGTGCATTCAGCGTCAAAAAAAGTCATATAGGTTTCTGCCTGGGTAAGTAGCCATAATAATATTTACTTGTATGTAAACAAGCATGTCAGTGTATCTTGTATGTTTGCCAATGAGCTGAGTAGCTTATCTTAACGGTAAGAATACTAAGATATTTTTAGATGGTTTACAACCACTCACACTTTCGAAGCTTCATGACAGGTGATTAGCCAAGACGAACTTTTCTGAGGAATAAAACTTAGCCTCGATACTAGAACAAACTTTCACGATGGGTAACGTGGTTGAATATGTAAAGGATACACTTCACTACATTATCATCATTATAAATGTAGGCAGTCTTAAGTCTAGATTCGCCTAAAGCAAGTGTGCATTTAATTATCTGTAAGCTGGGTACACCTGAATTTACATATGAACTGTGTTACTAGTCCTGAATAGAATCATTTCGCGATAGGTACACCGACGTTCACCTCTTAACGTATCCTGATTTCCGGCTGAGAATGTTGAGAAGTAGGTTTTATCAGTTCAGTGAATCTCGGACCAAGCGTACGAATTCCTCTGCACTGCAGCTACTCCGCTAGAAATTTTGGACGTGAGGGTTACAATGCTAGCGTTGATGAACTCGAACGTATTCAAGTGCCTCTGAATAAGAGATTAGGTTCATACGAACAAAACAAATGCTAAGTAAGCGAACTGAAGAGTCAATAAATATGAAAGTTCCCAATAATGAGTAAAGTGGTAGTAAAATCAGTAAAATCTTGTTACAAAAAGCTGGTATTTAGTAAAATGAAGACAAAAGTAACTGCAGCTGAACACTAGCGGAGTAATCTAAGATACAGGCCGAATATACGACGTATGTTGTATCATTTGTGAACAAACACTCACCGGGTGGTGAAGTGATATTTACCTTAATTTTTCATCTCAAATACATTCCATTTAGGTCATCCGATTTTGTGCTTTATTGACTACGGCTCCCATCTCGCCAGGAATATTACTGCTGTCTCTTAATTACGAAACTATTTTATTAACAATTCTTTTCTTTTTTAGCTAGCCATTTTGTGTTGGAATAATCTTTAAGTATATTTAAGTGACAGTGTCATTTGGAGTACTTGGTAAGTTCTCATTATGAGTTGTTGTAACTTGAAATGGTCTCTCAGCTGAGGTGAGAACAGCATCCGCAATGGATATTTTTAGAAAGAGGCCTACTATAAACATGCCCACATGCAGATTATCATATGCCTGCTCCTGATTCTGGTCATGAGACCTGCTGGTTGCTATCATTGGCATTTCCTCAGACCACTAACTTGTTACATCACAATAATTACCCTTGTTTTGCCTACTTCGCTCACATTTTTATCCTCCCACACAGTCTTTACTACCACTTCTTCTGGCATTCAGAAAACCTACAGCCATGAGACAAACACGCAATCACAGGACATACACATTCATAAATAACGTCCGACTGATTAGAATTAATGGAGTCATGTGACTGGGCTATCATCCAATTCACATGACTAAATACCTGAAACCGTACTGAAACAACAAGAATCGAGCTCAAAGAAATCAACTGCATGATACGACCTCGTGAAAAAGATATTGGATAGTGAAAATTGGGTACTGTATCCAAAATTGTGCGCTATCATATTCCAGCCTACAGGTTGTTTCTACCTCATGCTTGTGTTATTTCTAACAGTTGTCGATTGCTTATATCAATAAATGTAAGTATAGTATATGTGAATTCTGAGTCACCGGCTTTCCTTCTTCTCATATTCTGTCTAAGTTTCGCTGATACATTGCTGGGCACACTCCCACCTTATGAGGTACATTCAGACTAGATGCATATCTGTCATAGGCTGAATGTTGCGTTTGACATTAAAAGTTGGAGCTGGCTTGCTCACCAATCATATAGATATGCAGCTCAGCTGCAGATACTGAGTACAACATCTTCCTCGTCCATGCCCCTAATTCTGATTACCAGCTGTCGCTGCTGTCTAATAAACACGGACACCAAAGACGATTTTGCACCATATAATTTAGCGAATTAAGCACTTGCAAACAATCAGTGGTATACCCAGGCAGTATAAACTTAGTGGCCAGTCCAGGCTTCACAAAGTATCTCGCAACATATCTGTGAGATGTTATGTTGATTAATTGGCACATTATTTGCTTGCTCTCTGGTATTCACCATGAAACATACATCATGTTCCAAGCGACCTCAGTCTTTATATACTTGTGCTCGATCAAAATATCTACTCCAGAGTCAGTCCCGGGCGTCTGATCGAGTTGCACATTACACTAGCCTACATCTCTGTTTCTGAACTTTCATTTGGGGTGCTGCGAAAGTAACAGGTTTTTCCTTGTATTATGAACGGCCTTGACATTGTGAGGGTGAGTGTTTAGACTTCGCAAACTAATATCCAGGGAAATTAGATCCAGATAATCACTTTAACAAATTTGATAGTCTTTGTTTCATTGGGATGCGCGTTTGTTCTGTGGTATTGATTCGGGTTAGTAGAGGTAGAATCCTTGTTATCCCTCTTTATTAACTTCAGCTGCATACTAGTCTATGGCTAAAATATTTGGTTGAGAGGAACCAGTTAGATTAATCTCCTTGAGCACTTTAAGTCCTAGATCATAACAACCATTCCTTTAAAGAAACCAGAGGAGGATTTCATCACAATATGGTTCATAATTGCGTATCACAGTTTAAGGATCCACAAGAAAAGCGTCAACACGTATATTTCACTGAACCTGTTCAGGTAATACATTCTTGTAGAGAAAACTGGTGAGTATTCAAACGAATTACTACGGATTTCAGGTGTAGAGGTCTTATACAAGTTTTCTAATCAAACACTCCAGTTCAAATCAAAGCTTGTGCGGACTGTCATTGGAATTTATTCATGTGCTACTAGTCAGAGTTGTTCTGTTTATCCATTTTCACTTAGTTCTTGTCATGAAAATGCTTTTAGAGATAACACTCATTGCTTGACATTTTTCCTATTCTATTATATAGTTGTGAGCCATGGCCTTTGAGGAAAGACGATGTCCTGAGGCTGTTAGTTTTTGATTGTAGATAGATAGCTTCAGAAATCTGTCAGTTTATCTTGCGTCGATCAAGTTAGTAATTATGAGAGCATAGCCATGAGTGTATAGCCATCTACCAAGTATCTCGGCGTGCAGTGATCACTGGTGTACGAGTATATTTGAATAAAGCGAGAGTCAGGCAAACTAAGGTTTGATATTAGTCCAAGAAGATACTAACTATTGAACTTAATCATGTAGGTAGGTTCAAAATAACTAGTAGGGTTGTGATTGATAACCACGATCAGTGGTTGGAGACGTCGAATTTTATTGCTAGTTATTGGTTAGACTAGAGCAGATGCAGTCATTATTTGTTTTCTTAAGTCCCGAGTTTTTATATTCTCATTTTCTTTTACTTCGCAAATTCTCTTTTTTTTGTAAATCTTATTTTCTATGACGATTTTCATAGCTACGATAAATACTGTTACTACTCCTGCTACTACATTGAGACTTATTTTGATAATTTCGTCTTGTTAATATATAGCAACTGGATTCGATGTGCATATGTACCAGGCTCTCGGCTGCTTTTGACTAGATCGAAATCCATTATTCATTTGCAGGTTACTTTGTTTCAATATTTTTGAGTGAATAGGCCTACTAATTCTGTCCTGTTTATTTTTTATCATTTTGACTCATATTTTTGTGTTGGGCAGCAAATTGCTTGTATCGTAAGTTTTTTTATTTCAGATTGCACGCTTTTACTATCTGTTCCACTATGGGATTTGAACTGACGATTACATCTTTGTGCTATTGTGGTATGACAACCTGAACTTATGTACGTACGTACGTACGAAGTTCTACGTTGTGACTGACTGACTGATTAGTTCAAATTGGATTTTGATTAAGTTTAACAATTTGTTCTGGGTGGTCCTAAGGACACAGCATTTACGTCCATTAGATGGTTTTCCATCCACATAATCCCATTCTTCCGATCTTTGAATGAATACTTTGGTAACGTTGTTGGGTATATCAACCGACTAAAGTAATGGATTTAGATGTATGGGTCTTGCTTTGGTCTACTTGCTAAACAAACTACTTTCTAAATAAACTTGTTATAACACTTGAACCGAGTAAGCAATGCTGTCGTTAGGAAACTAGTACTAGGTAAGGATGGTAGATCAATAGATAAAGTAGTGAAACTTCATCAGTTGAGGTGGTTGGGACATGTGTTACGAATGCCTAACCACCGACTGCCGCGACGAGCTATGTTTTGTGGTATAGAGGAGTAGAATGGAGGAAAGCTAGGGGTGGCCAAACCAAAACATGGCAGAAATCCATGAAGTTACTGACTAGTGGACTGAGTCATGTTGGTAGATGTAGACTACCTGTTTGGGGTGGGGTCCGCGAGACGAAAGTCACCAATGGTTAGAGACCTTGAACGATATGGCTCAGAATCGTTGGGAATGGCGCGGGTGCATCCATTCTTTGAGCTCTCTCAAATCCTAATCTTCTGGATTCGTCAGCACCTCTACTTTTGTCTTTCTAACCTTATCTCATACTGAATTATACTTCTTGAATAATATCTTCGAATCCTAGTCTTCTTTATTAAAATTAATACCTCTACTATCTTTATCACTATGGGATTTGAATTGACATTTGCGTCTGTGTGTGCTAATGTGGTATAGCAACATGAACTTATGTACACATACGTACGAAGTTTTACGTTGCAACTGACTGACTGTTATAACACTTGAATTAGGTTATAAAAAAAAGAATCCAGTTTTATACTTTTACAATCTGATTTTTGTTTTTGATATACTGAGTTTATTATACGTTAACATTTCTTCACTTTTTTTTTTAGTTTTTAGAATGAATAATGTTAACAGTGACGATCGTACACGACAAGTTTATCCAGAATTAGGCAATTTTATTTCTACTAATGAATATCAAGAAAATTATGATTATGAATTATCACAAAGTACAATGGCTACTGGAAGTTGTGGTGTTGGAAATCATTTGCCTAGTTTATTACAAAATATGTTAAGTCAAGTTGATGAAAAGCCAAAAATATTATTAATGGGTTTAAGAAGGTTTTCATGACATTATTTTTTTATTGATTATGTTTATTAATTTACAGAAGTGGTAAATCATCAATTCAACGTGTTGTCTTTCATAAAATGGCACCAAATGAAACATTGTTCTTGGAAAGTACACATAAAATTGAAAAGAATGGTTAGCATGATTTCTAATTTCTTCTAATGTATTTATAATATAATATATTTTTTATTTATTTAAAGACGTATCAGAATGTTCTTTTATCAAATTTCAAATATGGGATTTCCCTGGTCACATTGATTTTTGTGATGAAACATTTCAATCGGAAGCGATATTTCTAGCTTCTTGTGCTATCATCTTCATCATCGATGCTCAGGTAAGAAAAAAAGTTGATTAGCTAAAAGGTGTATGGTTACCACTATTATATTGTAAGGTTGAAACTTGTTTTTAAAGTGTCAATCGATTATAAACCAATAGGATTTTGAATTTGTTAAAATGTCTTCATTGCTGAATGAGTAGATTACATGCTTAAAAATAGGTAAAGCTAAAGCTTTAATTAAAGCAGGTGCTTGTGTGTGGAGCTTGTAATCCTGCACCATACAATAGATAGGTATATCAGTTTTATTCTGAAAGTATCTCCTTGTTGTAACGCTTATCTAGATAATTCCCAGCTAAATCCTGTTGCTTAGTATTCTCTGACCACACAATACACTGGACAAGTTCCCAAGAATCAAAACACGGTTGAACAGGAAAAGATTGTATTCCCAAATAGCAAGGTTGAATGGAAATACGAAGCCAAAAGTTGATGGCGAAGGCGAAATAGATACAACGTTAGTTTCGTTATAGTATTTACATGAGAAGCTTCTGGATAGTAATTCACGTGATCGACTACTGGATTAGATTTAGCCAATCAGAGTGCAGCTAACAACACAAGAATTTTTATACCCTGTTCTCCAAGATTCGATCAGGCGCTGATTGGATAGGAAATTGGCCAATCAGCGCGCAGCAACATAGTCATGCTCTAATTCCAGCTGTGTCCCACTAACACTCATCAGTGATGTATATTTCTACAAAATCTCTGACATATGTTGTTTTAAATGTTTAATAAACAACCTATGAGATATGTGTTTAAACTTTAATCTCTAGTGTGAGCACCTATTTGCTCATCGCCAGAGACATCTTAAAGTTTGTGTTGAAATTGAAACTGAGAAAAAAACTAGAAAGGCACAACAGTTTAGGATTAGAATTTTCATCACTCTGAAAATTTTTGATATAGATTCCAATATGAAAACAAGGTTGATGGTCATGAGTGAGATAAGGTCAGTACATTACACCTGTTACCCCTAATAAAGCATAGGCCGCCGACCAGCATTCTCCAGCCTACTCTGTCCTGAACCCTCCTTCCTAGCATCGTTCAACTATTGTTCATTCTTCTCATGTCTGTCTCCATTTTTTGGAGTAATGTATTTTTGATTTTCCTCTCTTCCTTCGGCCTTGAAGATACAAATGAGGGCACAGTTCGGAAGCTCCAGCTATAATGAAAGATGCTGAAAACACTATCAAGTATAGAAGCTGGTTGGCAAAATTATAATCTGCTGTTAGACCAACGTTTATGAAACAATAGATCTACCACCTTCATAATTACTTCCATCGACCTACAGTTTCCCACTATGTTTCACCAACCTAAACGAAGAGTTTGTACGAATTTTGTTTATTCTGTGAATTAGATAGACACTCATATCAGAGTTTTAGTATGTTACGCATGCATGTAAACACGTCAACTTGACATACTACTTGAACTATTTCGAGTTTGCCTTAGTCGGAATACGAGGGCGAGGATCGGGGGTCCGGCGACATGACAGGCTACTCTAATCCGATTGTCCCAATAACCCATTGAATAAAAGAAGAAGGCTTGATATGAAGTAGAACCTGTATTCTACAAGCATTCAGAAGGTACAAGGTCCGAATCCAGAAGAGAATGAGGACCCCGGACTAAGGATCCGGGTCCCGGTTATAAAATGTCACAGATAATGCGTATTTATACATCTAGGTCGAATAGGAAACGGCATCAAAGTCTGTGACGTTGATAGTTAAGACGACTAATAGGAAGCGAAATGGATAGTCAGGACAACCAATAATAAACAACATTGGAGCACGTGACATTGATATGTAGGTCGACCATAAAATTGACCAATAATTCTCTTAGGATATTAGATGAATATCCTAACAGAGTAGAAATTCGTTCAGAATAAAAAAAAACAGTCTTGCATTATTTGTAACTCTCGCTATGAGTTATTATAGTGACAATGAATATTCACTCTAATGCTTGCTGTTTTATACAACTGCAATCAAACCAATACAAGTGTAATTGAATGCTTCATATCATACTTTAGAGATGTTGGTGTCTCAGGTGTTTTCTTTTTCTTCTAATTACTAGTAGGTATGTTAAACATATATATACATTATTGATTTTTGTGCTTTCAATCTTTAGGATGATTATCATGCAGCTTTAACTCGTTTACATGCTACGCTAGAGTCAGCATTTCGTTTTAATATGAATATTAAGTTTGAAGTATTCATTCATAAAGTGGATTGTTTATCTGATGATCAAAAAATGGATATACAACGTGATATTACACAACATGTAACTAGTGTTTTAGAAGATTTATTATGTGAACAACCATCAAATGCTGGAATAAGTATAGGGTAAGTAAATAGAAAGAAAAAAAATGTTTTTTTCCTGTCGATCTCTCTTTGAGACAATTGAGTAAACAATGTTGTTGTTAGGAAAAGGGTACTAGGTAAGGAGGGGAAATTAATGGATGAATTAGTGAGTCTTGATTAGTTGTGACATGTGCTGCGTATGCCTAACAACCGGTTGCCGCGACGAATTATGTTTTGTGGTGTAGGAGTAGGTTAGAAGAAAGCTAGAGGTGACCAGATTGAAACATGGCAGAAATACATGAAGTCATTGACGAGTGGACTGAGTCATGTCGGTAATTGTCGACTACCTGTTTGGGATCCGCGAGATGATAATATTCGGTGGTTAGAGACCCTGAATGACATGGCTCAAAACCGTTTGCGATGGCGCCGGTGTTCTCTCAAATCCTAATCTTCTGGATTCTTCAACACCTCTAGTTTTGACTTTCTAAACTTTTCTCACTCAATCATATTTCTTGAATAATATCTTCTAATCCTAACGTCTCCGACTACTTCCAATACCTTTACTACCTCTACTACTATTATTGGATTTGAATTGACAATTACATCTCTGTGCTGATGTGGTATGGGAACATGAACTGATGTACTTATGTACAAAGTTCTACCTTGCATCTGACTGACTGACTAATGACAAAATCAAAATGTGTTAAATTATAGTTCAAGAGTTATGTTTGACGAATAGGTGAAGTAATCTAAAATGATTCAGTTCTGTCTTTAGACATAGATGGTGTATCGGAATAAAAAAAGAAAAGCAATCAATAACGGGGCAGCTCAACAATACAGTTCATTGTGATTGGTTGTTTGAATTTTCCCATTGATCATTGGAATTGTGCAATTGATCAGTAGGCTCTTTGTGCATATGTGCATCCTGCACGAATTACCTTTTAGATGACAAGCATTATTATTATTATTTCTAACTTGTATTGTTGAGGTAAATAGTGAATAGCAGTGGAATTCAGAATGCGCGTTTCGTCCTAATTCAAGCAAGTGGCATTGAGTTCGAGTCCCGGTGTGAACAAATCTAAGGTGGCAGGTACATCCGACTGACAAGTTGCAAGTAGTTAGAAACGCACATCCTGGATTTCACTGCTAGCTAATATATCTAACTCAGTAGTGCAAGTTAGGGAGTATATGTTCTTCGTCAATTTATGAAAAAAAAAATGAAATTCAGAGCTTTTGATATGATTCTGAATTGAACTTGATCTACTAAATATTTGGTAATCATTTTAGTTGATTAATAATTACATGATATTAAATTAATTAGGGCTTTATTGTAAAAATCATAGAGTTAATAAATTTTGAAAAAAAAATTTCATTCATATTTATCAGAGAGCTTTTTCATGCCAAGTGGGTGATATATATATATATATATATATATATATATATATATATATATATATACTGATAAAAATCTCACCTCATCAATCATGTTCACTTATCATTTGATTGTTTGCTGATTTTTTCCAATTATATATATCAGTAGTCTCTTAACAAAACTCACCTTCCAATCAATTAATCAATTAACAACATAGGTTTTCGTACGTACGTACATCACTTCAAGTTGTCATACCACATTAGCACAGAGATATAATTGTCATTTCAAATCCAATAGTAGTAGAGGTAGTAAAGGTATTAGCAGTATTCGGAAAGATTAGGATTAGAAGATATTATTCAAGAAGTATAATTCAGTAAGATAAATTTAGAAAGGGAAGGATAGAGGTGATCAGGAAATCAGAAGATTAGGATTTGAGAGAGCTCAAAGAATGGATGCACTTGCGCCATGGCAAACGATTTTGAGCCATATCGTTCAAGGTCTCTAACCATTGGTGACTTTCGTCTCGCGGACCCCAAACAGGTAGTCTACATCTAGCAACATGACTTGGTCCACTTGTCAATGACTTTATGCATTTCTGCCATGTTTTGGTTTGACCTCCCCTAACTTTCTTCCAATCTATTCCTACACTGCAAAATATTGTTCGACGAGGCAGTCGGTGGTTAGGCATTCGTAACACATATCCCAACCACCTCAACTGATTAAGTTTTATTACTTCATCTATTGACCTGTCATCCTTACCTATCACCCATTTCCTAACGACAGCATTGCTTACTCAGTTGTCCCATGATACACAAGCAATGCTTTGGAGACACCTATAATCGAAAACTAACAACCTACGATTGTCTTCTACTCTGACTGGCCATGTTTCTGTATAGTAGAACGTAGCGAACTACTGCTCAATACACTCGTTTTTGAGTCAGCAAAAGGGATATCTCGCCTATGCCATAATTGATGTAGGTCGGAAAAAGCCGATCAAAGCCTTCTAACCATGCAGTTGACAAAAACAAGTCATTTAACAAGTACTTGTAACAAGCCTACAATAAAAAGTAAAATGTTTTTGAAATAATTTATCTAATTGACAATATAAAATGCATGAAAGTGGATCTCTTCACTTTACTTTTGTTTTTCTTTTCTTTTTCTCTAACAAAATTCAATTAGATTTCATTTAACTACAATATATGATCATTCAATTTTTGAAGCATTCAGTAAAGTAGTACAAAAGTTAATACCTTATTTAGAAGCATTTGAACATTTGTTAAATATATTTATTACAGTAAGTAATAACATATGTTCAATACATCATTTGTTTTGTATTTTTTTTTTGGTCATGAATTTTATTTAATGCTTGAGCTATATATGTAGACTTGAAGAAATTTGATCGGTTGTCATTTGTGTATACATTAACATTGGTCTCAGTGAATTGATTCACTCTACAATACAACATTTAGCTTTTCTATACGCTTCAAAAAAAGAAAAAAGCTTTTCTATAAATAGTAACTCGTTAAAAAATTTTTTCATTTAGTCACGTACTTGATTACTACTACACATAGGTTGTTGTAGTTTTTTCGGATCTAAAGGCCAACGGTTGTACTACTACTCTAAATACGAACGATTCTCGTGAATTCAATTCACCACGCATAACACTTAACAGCTAACACTATAAAAAAGACTCTATGCAAGCAACTTTATATTCAACGACAAGAAAGACTATAAAAACTAACAAGATGTTATAGTTCTCTATCTCTTTATTACAACCCAGCTATTCCTTCTACTAATGCTTAGTATTGTCGGACACCAATCCACTCGACAAGTCCTCAAATCAGAACACGATTATTGAACAGGAAAAAAGAGATTATATTCCAAATAGCCAGGTTACATGGAAGTGTAAGAAGTTCCAAAGGAAATGGACGTTAGTATATATTTATGAGTTTTCCTTACACGAGAAGCTTCTAGAATGTTCGTTCGCTCAGTTATGGGCTAGCGCTGATTGGATACGAAAAAGCCAATCAGTGTGCAGCAACGCAATCATGTTTTTTATTTCCAATCTATATCCCACTAACACAAGATATGACGGATAACTTTCAAGCATACAGGAAATTAAATTAGAAGAAAAACATGGGCTAGCAGTTATTGTTTCTTAAGATGATTTCATCTCTTTTATTGGAATTAGATCTTTTTATGATTTTCGAAGCACATTAGAGTGCTGAAACTAAAACTATAAATAGTTGCTGGTAAGCCCCTTTGAAATATTTAGTAACTAAGATTCAGTCTTGCCTCAGATAAATCGTTAATTTCAAAACTAGTAAAAGCTCTGTCGGACTGCATCTCCCCTTTTTTTTTTACAAAAAGCCGAACATTTATACATAGTGATTGTTGTAGATTTTAACTCGCTTGTAGATATTCCAAACCATAGTAAAACAGACTCCTCAGTGGGTTTTATGCTGTCCCAATTCAATGAATGGACAATGGAAACTGGCTGCCAGAGCTATGCTCAGACAACCATTTATTCTTGTCAAGCACCAACTTTTTAAGCGCATTGAGGAACATTGTGTGACATGGAAACCTCCAGGATTGACTCAGCGATGAGTGCAAATAGACATTATCACCATCAGTGATCGTTGAAGTAGCTTGATTGAAAATTGTCGCTCATTTCGTAATAACATGTTTAAACTTTGAATGTTTATCGACTGAGATGGTTAGGATATAGGATTATGTATACGCAGACGGATTTATGTTTGTCAGGTTTTACGCTGTTTCATTCGTTGCATAAATAATGTGTTATATTTATTCACTACTCTTCATGGTATTACTATTTTCAATTAGAGTTATGGAGATTAGTGTGTGACTAGTGGAGTTCAGCTCTGTCGGGTGTAGGCAGCAACTACCAAAGACAAATGCGTGAGGTCGCGCAAAATCTGTAGATTGATCAGAGTTAGACGTTAACACCGTTGGATGCCATCCCAGTTGTTCAGAGGTTAGGCGTTCGTGCGCAAGGCCGAAGGTACTGGGTTTGAATCCTGTGAGGTGCAGAATTCGTGAATCCGCACTGCCACTGATGAGTAGTCCCATACCAGGACGAAGCGCCCATCCAGTACTTCCAGGTTTCTAATGGTGGTCTAATAATGGTTGGTTGATAATTTCAATGTGCAAAAAACTTACTTAGTTAGAGTAAATGAACTGATAGTTAGTCTATTTTATTCATATGTAGTTTGTAATGAAATGATAACTCCTGTATACAATATATCACGTACATTTATGGTAATTACAATGAAACACCTTCCTAATATATGCTTTAGTCTTTCTTAGTTATATTTACTGGTCTATTCATGACTACCAGAATATGGTAGTATGGTTTCAGACAAGATCTGTGTATTTGCATAGTATTACTTATTTACTTACGCCTGTTACCCCCAATGGAGCATAGGCACCTCACCAGTTTTCTCCAACCAACTCTGTCCTGCGCTTCTTTTTCCAGTTCTGTCCAATTTTCGTTCATTCCTCTCATATCTTTCTCTATTTTTCGGCGTAATGTGTTCCTTGGCCTTCCTCTTTTCCTTTTGCTTTGAGGGTTCCATGTGAGGGCTTGTCTCGTGACGCAGCTGGGTGCTTTCTGCGATGTGTGTCCTTTCCACTTCCACCGCTTCTTCCTCATTTTCTCCTCCAATGGAATCTGGTTTTTTCTATCCCACAGTTCGTTGTTGCTGATGGTGTCTGGCCAACGAATCCGAAGTATTTTGCGTAGAAAACTGTTAATAAATACTTGTATCTTGTGGATGATGACTTTCGTAGTTCTCCAAGTTTCCGCTCCATACAGTAGAACTGTCTTCACAATGTGTATTGAAAATCATGATTTTGGTTTTGGTTGAAAGTTGTTTGGTGTTCCAGATATTTTTCAATTGTAGAAATGCAGTCCTTGCTTTGCCAATCCGTACCCTCACATCTGCATCGGATCCACCTTTCTCGTCGATGATGCTGCCCAGATATGTAAAGAGGTGTTAACGTCCTCCAAGGCATCTCCATCAAGAGTGATTTGGTTGGTGCATGTTGTGTTGCATCGGAGAATTTCGCTTTTTTCTTTATGTATGTTGAGATCTACTGCTGCAGAGGCTGCTGCTACACTGGTCGTCTTCTCTTGCATTTGTTGTTGCGTGTGCGATAGAAGAGCCAAGTCATCTGCGAAGTTCAGATCGTCCAGCTGCGTCCTAGCTTCCCTCCAGATGCTGTCTTCATAGTATACATATGCTATATTTCACCTAAAAAATTCCTCTTTTTTGTTAAATATTATAGTCATACATAGTTTTTCATTGTAAAGTGAAATACTTAGCAGTAATAATAATACTAATATCAAGTGTGTATTCACGTCATGCAGATACTTTTCAGTTTTGTAATTTCTCCTTCATTATCGATTTATGATTTCTATTTTTTTTTTCTCATAGAATTCAATGGTAGACAAAGCATTTTTATTTGATGTTACTAGTAAAATATATTTAGCCACTGATTCGAATGCTGTCGATATGCAAACTTATGAATTATGCTGTGATATGATTGATGTAGTTGTCGATGTAGCAGCAATCTATACGTAAGCTTTAATAATATTAATGATATATATATATATATACACTATCGGTGTAATTAAAAATGACCTAATTCCTGATTTTTTTTTAATAGTAAGCTTGTTAATAAATAAGTTAATTTATGTTCATTGGTTATTTTTTTTTCAAAAAAATTTCATTCATATTAGAGAAAGAGAGAGATATAAAGTGTCTAGACTAATCAAGTAAAATCTGTAATGAATTTGTCGTTCATTTAATATCTTACTTGTTTTAGAAGTTCAGTGCAATAAATCGAATATGTGTTGTGACCAGTGTGAGAAAGGTACATAAAAGTTGTTCAATATCACATGTTATCAGCAGTCACAGAGACCACAGTATGTTGTCGAAACTTTTAAAAACAGTCGAATTATTTGTTAGTGTTTGTTTAAGTTGCCTTCATTCTATTGAGCTTCGTACAGGATAAGTCGTTGAGCATCTATCAGTTTAGTATATTGTTATAATTCTCTTTTAGTAGAATCCAGCTATTGTTAATGCTTAGTATTCTTGGACAACGATCCACTCGACAAGTCCGCAAATCAGAACATGGTTGAACATGGAAGAGATTATATATTCCAAATAGCAAGGTTAAATGGAAATAAGAAGCTGAAGCGAAGGCAGAATAGGGACAACCTCAGTATCCTTATAGTTTTCTTACATGAAAAGCTTATAGAATGTTGTCGAAGTATCAACTAGCGCTGATTGGATACGGAAGAGCCAATCAGCATGCAGCAACGCAATCATGCTTTAATCCCATCTATGTCCCGCTAACATGCTTGAACTCCACTAATTTTGCTTAACTTTTTAATGTTTGTCTATCGTAGATAATACTGTCTTTTTTAAGGCTGTCTGAACGTCATGTCAGATGGTGATATGGTCTACTTGCACTCATCGTTGATGTGGTTTCCGTTTCAAACGATGTTCTTCCTTATGCTTAAAGTTTAGTACTGGCTAAGAATAAACGGTTGTCTGAACGTACCTGTAGCAGTGTAAAACCCACTGACGAGTTTCTTTCAAATTAGTTTGGAATACCTACATGCGAGTTAAAATCTGCTACAATTATTACTTCTGCCAGGGGTTTTGATTTTCGTCGGACAGCCGAAGGGTTTCCGTAAATCTCATTTCATGTTTTATTCGAGCTTCTGTCATTTGGAAACTCCGCCAGTAGAACCGTTGGGGCTACTACCGGTTCCAAGCCCGGATAAAAAGTAGGAGGGTTGGGCATGAGGTTGGCGACCCCATCCCACCAAAAAAACGCTAACTAGAAAAAAAAATAAATCAAACCTGTCATTTGGAGTATAGACAGAAACAAAAACGCTGGTCTTCATCTTTCAGTGCACAAACATCTAATCCAAAATTCACAGAACTCTTTATGCGAGCGCAAAGGGAAAACGTTTGTTTTCTTGAAAATTTTGATGGGATAGTACATTAAAGGTCAAGTAATATGAAATTTTTGCGGTATAGATTTTCATTACACTCCTGATACATCATGTAAGAATATATCGTTTCTGTCATGTTCATTTAGCTGAGACGTTTGACTTCATCTATTGCTTTTATTGACTCTATCCAATGCCTTATGGCAGTTTATCACCATAATGTAAATTCAACAAGTGCACCAGTTCTATACTTCTTAGTGAAAGTCAGATGATTGGTATTATTAGGATTCAATAGTCCTTGCTTGCTAACCAATGAATTCTGTGCCTGAAGTTACTTCATTATTATTCCGTTAAGTTTATCCTAAAAAAGTGTTTTTTGTTTTCAGCCCACAATCTAATTTTGTTGATCCTCCTGTCTCTGAACAAACTGGGGCAACAATTATCTTAAACAATGATCGAGCATTATATCTTCGTGGTGTCAATCAATATATGGCTTTAGCTTGTTTGATGTATGAAGAATCTTTAGAGAAAATGGGTAAATGAATATTATGTTTTTTTTCTATTTTTCAGTTTATTATTTTTTGAAAACGTTAATTTTAGTGTAAATACTTTTATAACGCTGCTACGTATAGCTATTCAGTCCTAGCGGTGTCCAATTCAAATGTCCCAATACGACCCAAAATGCTATTTCCAAATCTCCTAGATATCAGAACGCAACACCGTGGGATGGAGTTGTTTATTGGGTGGAATACAGAAGAGAGGTAGGCAGGAATTGGATTTCGAATCATGAAGTCTTACAGATAGTGCGTATTTATACATTAAGGTCGAATAGGAAAGAGTCTGTGACATTGACAGTTTAGGACGGCCAATGGGAACGAACATTTGAAATGACATTGACAGTCCGGATGATTAATCAGAGACAACATTGAAGTATTTGACTTTGACAGTTAAAACGACCATAATTTCGACCAATAGGATTATACTTCCAAAAATAGTACTCTTAGGATATTTGGTGAATATCCTAACAAATACAACCACAAATGACAATGATTGGTTTGTATTCACAGATAGCAAGTGTGTCCATTAGAACTAGGATTTATTTAGTCAGCAGTTCAGTGTTCATAAATGCCTCTGGTACGTCCATGTGTGTGGGGATAGTTTGCTCTTCTCCGAATACATACGGTCACCGCCTTCTCACAGTTAGGAGATGTCTTACTCGACTACCTCAGATGTTTCGGAGATTCTTCAAACATTGTAAATACATACTTAATGAGAAAATATGCCTGGTATTGATAAGCAATAGGCATTTTTAAAGTCGTGGATAGTGGCTAGCACTGGAATCCAGAACGCGAGTTTAATCCTAGTTGAGACTCGTCAACTGAATAGGCCTGCATCTTGGAGTTGATGTTCACTCCAAGATTCGTACCCAGTGTACCTTAAGTCCTAAACGCCATCGCGTTATCCACTTAGCTACTGAGTCAAGCCAATCACTAAGTTGTGCAATGGGGTGAAAATTAACTCTTTTTTATTGGTTTTCGAGTCTTACCACTGATGTTTAAGATTGTCATTAATCATCAGGCTCTTTTGGCGTCTACACATTCTGTGTGAATTGTCTTGATATTACGATGGCGTTTGAAGCTAGGAGTACTTAGTTAGATTAGTCCTAAGGTAGACATCAACTCTGAGATGCAGGCACATCTGGCTAACAAGTCCCAAATAGGATGAAACGCGCCTCCTAGACCCCAAAGTTAGCCAGTATCTACTTTTACTAATAACGCTTGTTATCTAAGAGGCTATATGAAGGCCAAACGAGACTGATCAATTGTGATCCTAAACATCAATATGAAGCTTCAAACAACCAATACAAATGAGTAGGTTGATCGATACACTGTCTAATAAGTAGTATACACTATCCTTCCTAGCATTTTGTTTGAGTACACCTGTAAATCAATAGACTTAACTTATTTTTGTAACTGTGACGTGGTAACATCCGATTTTTTTGGAAATTAAGAATTAATAGGTGGCTTGTAGTCCTTTCAATATGATACTATACAACTTTCCATGTTCAATAAACTATTTCAATTTCTCAAATTAACTCATTTTAATTGATCTATATATAGGTTTGATAGAATTCAATTTCTGTGTTATTAAAAATGCATTACAACAAATGCTTGAATTAAATCAACAACATGCAAAACGTGAATTAGCTGCTTTATTAATGCAACAACCATCATCAGATGATCCTATACCAGAAGATGAAGAACCAGTAAATGAACTTGATTCTAATGGAAAAGGTGACGATGACGATGATGATGATGATGAACAGGAAGTTAGTTAGTGATGAAGAACCAGAATAATATGGGAATGGAGATGTAAGAAGAGAATAATAATTATAATAGTAGAATCTTGTCATGTACATATAGTCATTACATCACTATGATTTTTATTACATCTATCTATCAAAGATTACTTTTCACCCAATCTTGTATACATACATATGTAAATGAATTTGTGTGTATGCATTAAAACTTGTAAACTCCAGTGGCATTCTTCTTCTTCTTCTTCTTCTTCTTACATGAATTTTTTTGTTCATTTTATTTTCTCATTTATAGTTGTCATATTGTTTTTCTGAAATTAATTTTGCAAAATCTATTTTTACTAATCATTAATCTATCTGAATTAAACAAGAATTTGATATTTTTTGCTATGTATGCTACTTCATTGAAATTATTTCTGATGGTCAAAGAAAGAAGGGTTATTTATTATACAGACAAGTTAAAAAGTAATAAGTTATTGTGAATACCATTTAATGTGTGTCTTAATATCTTTGATTTGAATCGAGCATGGAAAATGTTTTTATTAATCGGAGTCAGTTGAAATTCGTGATGATATTGACAATGAATATGAATATTACTAATGCTGTGCATACAACTGTGATCAAACAAATACGTCACACTGAAGAGAAACTGCGTTTATCATTCTTTTAAACATAAAGACACATTAAGTTGTTTGGAAGTTAACATGCCAGACATTTTACATAGTAATTCTAGGTATAAGTGTCAGACATCTTTTAATAAGAAAGAGCACATGCGTAGCACTATTTATGATCTAGTAATTCTTTTCATTACTGAAGATGTCTTGCATAGAAAATGATCAGTTTTCTATTTGTGGACGTTGCAGTAGTCTTGCAAAACTGTAGCGAAATGTTTGTGTTTCAGTCTTTCTTATATTGGATTGATTACATTCCTGAAGTTTCAAGCTGAACACGGTGTCATAAATATTGAAATCCCGAAGTGAAGTGCATTTTATACACCCTCATAACTTATTAAACATTCGGTTTCCAAGGATAGTGCCCAACTCTGAAGTAAAACCCATTCTTCTTCCGTTATAAGTAATGAGCAATATACTCAGTCAGTCAGTTGCAACGTAGAACTTCGTACGTATGTACATAAGTTCATGTTGCCATACCACATTAGCACAGAGACGCACATGTCAAATCAAATCCCATAGTGATACAGATAGTAGAGGTATTAATGGTCCAGGAACTCGACTATTGTCGGACGTCTAAATGTGTGCCTGTGTTCCAGGGCCTGTCGTAGTGTGAAGGTGTGGTCTATACAACCACGTCCAGGTCGAAAACCAGCCTGGTTTTCTCGAGTCTGCTCTTCACGAGCTCTAGTTAGACGTCTAAGTATAATGGAGCAATATACTGCCTATCAACAATTCGAAAGGTTCGTCGTCTCTCTTTATTTTATTACGTGTAGACAAAACATTTGTACGATTGCACTAGCACCAATCATCTGTTGTTTACAGTCAACAGATTCAGCTACTTATTGAATAAGTTTATCACGTGTCTTCCTCTTTTTTGACGTAAGTAGATTACAAACTAGGCTTGACTGTGAGCTAAATTTTGATTAACAATCGCAGTGTCAGAATTCGACTAAGATGGATTTCAGGAAATCTGTAATGCACAATGAACTTGGCTGAAGGTTCATAAGCCGTCCTGGGTTTGGTTTACACATATGGTTCAGATTAAATTAAGTTTGTAACTTTCTCAACTTATTATACAAAAAGGTACTTAGATAATCGGAAAGTGTTTGTAATTTGGTTGGATCTATTGCAATTACAGTGTTTAGATAGTCGCCTTGAGCTCTGTGAGAATGTACTTCTACAAAGCAAGTCTTTCCAGTAAACGCAGCTGGCACTCACCAACTGTTTGTGCGCTATCCAATTAACTATTTGAGAATCCTAAATTAACGAGTGCTTGACATAAGATCCATACATAAGACTACTATCAGCACCATGTCCATACTAAGTAGGATGGAACAGAACTCAAGCTTACCATCAAGTAGTTGAAACTTTGACAGGTTAACAACCGAGCCATCGCATCGCGTGTGTACATATGATGGATGATGAGTTAATAGTGAGTATCGAATAAGCCGAATCATACAGAAGTCAAGACAAACGGAATTGATGGTACTTAAATCCACCCAACTGCTCTCACTTTCAGTCATTCGGACAGAAAATACCAATAATCTTATAGCCAGGCATGAATTACTAACGGCATATGAATAAAGGTCTTGAAGTCAAAGCTGAGTATATGATATGCAAACTTACTTAGTACCTCCGCCGAAGGTCTCAGTTAAAGGTTGCAGAATTGATATTATCTAGTTAAGAGTCCCTAATGGAATTTTCCCAGAGAAGATACCACTATTTCTCTCATCTTAGCTAGTTACAGATGGTTAGGACTCATAGTGAGAAACAGGGGATTTCACTGCTGTCAAGTTCATACATTTTCCCACAACTGAGACAAACAGTTACTATGTTTAACATGATGATGGTATCAAAACCGCAGTCTCCAGTTAATTGACAGGAAATATGCATCAATCTTTTTGTAGCCACCTTCCAAGTCGTACACGGCAGAACACATGCTGGTGTTGCTAAAACACCACTACTTATTATGAAAACTTTCAAAGAGTGCTAATCATTTCCTAAGAAATTTGAATAATTACACCAGGTTGCAGAACGTAAGAACTAACTGACATAACAATTTAAGTAAAGGATGGAAGGTCAATAGATGAAGTAATGAAACTTCATCAGTTGAGGTGATTGAGACATGTGTTACGTCTGCCTAACCACCGACTGACTCGTCAATTTATATTTTTCGGTGCAGGAATAGGTTGGAAGAAAGCTAGGGGAGGTCACACCAAAACATTGCACAAATCGATGAAGTCACTGACAAGTGGACCGAGTCATGTTGGTAGGTGTCGACTACCTGTTTGGGGCTCGCGAGATGATAGTAACCCATGGTTAGAGACCCTGAATAACATGGCTCAAAACCGTTTGCAATGGTGCAGGTGCATTTACTCTGTGTCCTATTAAAATTCTAAACTCCGAAATTCCTCAACATCTCTTTCTCTTTCTAAATTTACTTCACTGAATTATACTTCTTTAACATCTTCGAACCCTAATCTCTCCGACTACTTCTAAAACTTTTACTACCCCTACTACTATGGGGTTTGAATTGACAATTATATCTGTGTGCTAATGTGGTATGGAAACTCGAATTGCTGTGCTTACGTGCAAAGCTCTAGGTTGCTATTGATGCTGATGAAGTTAAGGATCCAGCAAATCAGATATTCAAGCGCTTACCTTGACCTGGAAACTTTTTAAAGGTTACATCTATTGCTATCCATTTTAGAGGGAAGTGGTTGGGATAATATAGTTCTCCAACTTGCCTACACACAGTGACAGGCGCAAGATAATCATCTGGAAGCCAATGCAGAACCAATACAGACCTGTTGGTATCAAAAAAAGCCACTAACGCGCGTAAGTGAGGGCAATTAGGCTTCACAATGTTTACAAGGATTCCTACGATGCTTCATGGCTCAGAATGCTTATGGAAACGTGGATGCTTTCAGTTTTAATTATATATCTAGGATTGCTGCTGTGGGAGTACTGATTCGGAACCAAGAAGGTTAACCATTATTGAAGAGGATTCGTACTTTTACAACTTATAGTGAAAACACCTCCAGGAAAACAGTAACTATAATGCACCCACAATATCAAATAATACCCTTGGTTAAGGTTTTGGATTGTTGTCAGCCTATGGCACTTACTTTTCGTCATAATAAATTGTGCGTGAAGTTTAATTTGGCTGTCATATGCTATATACCCGTTGATCAAACAGACTGTATATTAGTTTTATACGTACAGACAAACCACGCTTATGTTTAGTTAAATACATATCATATGCAGCTGTACTGTTAAAGTAGAACAGAGAACTGACCACTTATAAAAACCCTTTATTCAAAATACATCAACGTAACCTCCTAGCTTCTCTCTCTGTTTCCAACAGGGTTAAAATATCACCTTCGCGAATAGGACCTTTCACGTTCCTTATGATTGTCCGATTAGTATCATCCAGGAATTCCACACGAACCTGTGTACATTGGCCCTGGGACCCAGTTCTGCCAACCACCGCTTTTACCTGCACCATAAATTAGACAAAACTACATAAAAACCCACCCTTGCAAGTTTTGTCTGAACAGCAGCCTTTTCCATGTTCTCTATTTAAATGTGTAACGACCGACAGCGTGAAGCTCAACAAATATTCAATAAACAATAAGCCCAGATATTAACTACAAGGCTTAGAATGGCTCTTAGAGAGATGTGAAGAAGTGAATATTCGTCTATTATATTAGATCTCATACTGACTTACTTGCTTACGCCTGTTACCACCAATGGAGCATAGGCCGCCCACCAGTTTTCCCCAACCAACTCTGTCCTGCGCTTCTTTTTCCAGTTCTGTCCAATTTTTGTTCATTCTTCCCATATCTTTCTTTATTTTTCGGCGTAATGTGTTCCTCGGCCTTCCTCTTTTCCTTTTACCCTAAGGGTTCCATGTGAGGGCTTGTCTTGTGACGCAGTTAAGTGCTTTTCTCAGTGTGTCCTTTCCTGATTTCCTCCTCCACTGGAATCTGGTTTGTTCTATCCTACAGTAGGTTTTTGCTGTTAGTGTGTGGCTAACAGATCCGAAGTACCTCACTTAGGCAACTGTCAATGAATACTTGTATCTTGTGGATATTGGCTTTCATAGTTCTCCAAGTTTTCACCCCATACAACAGAACCGTCTTGATATTTGTATTGAAGATCCTGATTTTGGTTTTGGTTGAAAGTTGTTTGGAGTTCCAGATATTTTTCAACTGTAGAAATGAAGTCCTTGCTTTGCCGATTCGCTCTCTTACATCTGCATCGAATCCACCTTTCTCGTCGATGATGCTGCCCAGATATGTAAAGGTGTTAATGTCCTCCAAGGTATCCCCATCAAGAGTGATTTGGTTGGTGCATGTTGTGTTGCATCGGAGAATTTTGCTTTTACCTTTATGTATGTTGAGACCTACTGCTGCAGAGGCTGCTACACTGGTTTTCTTCTCTTGCACTTGTTGCATGTGCGATAGAAGAGCCAGATCATCTGCGAAATCCAGATCGTCCAGTTGCATCCTAGATGTTCATTGGATACCGTGCTTCCCTGCAGTTGTTGACATCTTCATAATCTAGTCGATCACCACGAGAAAGAGAAAGGATGACGGTAAGCAACCTTGCCTCACACCGGTCTTCACCTCAAAAGAGTCTGTTAGCTGTCCTTCGTGTACGATTTTGCAGTTGAATCCATCATAAGAATTCCGTATGATGTTGACTATTTTCTCAGGCACATCGTAGTGTCGAAGAAGCCTCCACAGTGCTTTCCTATACACGCTATCAAATGCTTTCTCGTAGTCGATGAAGTTGATGTAGAGTGGT